AACGTCACCTCATAAAAGCATTTAAGTTCACAGGAAGGCATTGTGGATCACATGCCCCTTCATGTCTCCAGAACTCTAGAACTTTTTCAAATGGCATCATGGAAACTCTAGATGCACTGAAAAGCTCATCCCTCATTTCACATAATCACCAGCTTACTTCTGATCTTTGTTTCTGAATTTGGTTCCTTCAGACTCTAAATGTGAATGAGGTTGTGGATTATTACCTATCTGTAATGAGCTTATTTCATCCAGCATAATGTCTTAAAGGTTCCCTCATATTGCAGCCTATACCAGGTTTTTGTTTTGCTTTTCGTTTTTCAAGACAGGGTTTCTCTGTAGCTTTGGAGCCTGTTTTGAAACTCACTCTATAGACCAGGCTGGCCTCAAACTCACAGAGATCAGCCTGCCTCTGCCTCCCAGTGCTAGGATTAAAGGGATGCGCCACCACTGACCAGCCAGGTTTTCATTTTTACGATTGAATAATATTTTATTGCATATGCCTTCACATTTGGTGTAGCCATGCATTTGTTGGGGATGCTCATTGCTTCTGCCTCCTACCTACTGTGACTATTGTGAATATTGCTTTAGTAACACAGGTGGGAAAATACATCTTCAACATACTGTTTTCCGGTCTTTTGGTACACACCTAGGTACATTGGTGCACTATGTGAAAACTCAATTTTAAATCTTATGAGGCACCGCCATATAGTTTTCTGTAGTTGGTATACCATTTTATAATCCTACCACCAACACACAAAGGTTCCTACCTCCCCATTTCCACCAACATTTAATATCTTAAGTCTCTGATAGTGGCTAATCTAAGATACGAGCTGATAAATCATTATAGTTTAAATTTACATTTCCTTTTTTTATCCTTTTCAGGGTTCTTTTATGTACATGTATATAAGTGAATATTAACTATAAAGTAAAGGAGAACCATGCTACAACCCACAGATCCAGAGTAGCTAAGTGGCAAGGAAGGCTCAAGTGGGGGATCCATGAATCTCGCCGTGAAAGGGGAAATAGAATGGGCATTGCCGGTGGAATTGGAGAGAGGCCTGGAAGCAGGATGGAAATAGGAAAGATCAGGAGGGGAGAGGATGAAGAGAGAGAACTCTGGGAAAGGGCATCTCTAGGATGAATTAGAAAGAAATCTACAGCAATGGAAACTCCCAGGGATCTGTGCGGGTGACCCCAGTAAGACTCCTAGCAACGGGGGATGTGGAGCCTGTACTGACCATCTCCTGTGACCAGCAAGACTGCCGGGGGAGAGAATGGGACACCAACTCAGCCACATAACCTTTGGCCTACAATTTGTCCTGCCTATAAGATGTGCTGGGGTAAAGATTGGTGCACAAATTGTGGGGGTGACCTACTAATGACTGGCACAGCTGGAGACCCATACCCTGAGATGGAGCTCACCCCTGGGTGCCAAGACCCAGAGACCTAGGATACAGATCAACATAACTGACAAAAAAAAAGTCAATAAAATGACTCCTAATGATATTCTGCTGTGCTCATGGACTGCTGCCTAGCCCAACTGTCATCAGAGAGGTTGTGCCCGGCAACAATAGGAACAGATGTAGAGACCCACAGCCAAACATTGGGCAAAGGTAGGGAATCCTGCAGAAAAGGGGGAGCAAGGATTATGGGAGCCAGAGGGGCTAAGACATTACAAGGAAACCCACAGAACCACTAACCTGGGCTCATAGGGACTCACAGAGACTGAACTGTCAGCCAGGGATCCTGCATGGGACCAATCTAGGTCTTCTACATACATACAGTTGTGTAACTTGGTCTTCCTATGAGACTCCGAACAGTGAGAGCAGGGCTTGTCTTTGACTCTTATGCCTGCTTTTAGACCTCATACCTCCTACGGATTGCCTCATCCAGCCTTAGAAGGGTACCTCGTCTCACAGCGACTTGATGTACCATGGCTGAATGATCTCCATGGAAGGGACGCCTGTATCCTCAGACAGAGAAACAGTGGAGGAGGAGAGGAGGAGGGGTAACGGGGAGGGGGGAGGAACTGGGAGGGAGGGAGGTACAGGAAACTTTGATTGGGGTGTAAAAATTAAAAAAACAAAAATATAATATTTTTATTAATTTCTTTGAGCATTTCATACATGCATACGATGTATTTCTATTATATCCACTCCCAGCTCCACCTTCAACTCTCCCCAGGTCTACTGCTCACTCACTCCCAACTTTGTGTTCTTTTTTTTTCCTTTTTGATTAACCCACCAGGTTGAATTTGTGCTATTCATATTTTTATTGCCATCCACTGAAGACTGGTAAACCTACCAGGGGCCACACCCTTAAGGAAACCTAACCAGACTCCCATCAACTGTCAATAGCTTCTCAAGTAAGGGTGGAGGTTTGTAAGCCCCTCTTCAATCCCCGCTAGAATGTTGATTGCCTTGATCTGCTGCCGGCAACCATGGTTTGTGCCGGCAACCATGGCTACCATGAGTTCATGAGTAGCAGTCCTGTTATGCTCAGAATACAAATTCCCTTTTCATTCATTAACTCAGCTTCTTTTCATGTTTTCGGTCCCCATTGGTGTGACTTCCTAGAAGAAATGGCTGCATCGGTTTGCTATATTTTTTTTTTGCTAGCTCTATATGAAGTTACTTATTTATTTGTTGCTGTTGTTGCATTATAACAGCCTGTCCTATGCGCCAGACAAGACCTTATCCAATACGTGGTTGCAAGTGCTTTCCCATATTCAGTAGCTTGCCTTCCTCTGTTTTCTTTCCTTTGCTGCACAAAGTTTTCTAGGGCCCCATTTGTCTATTTTTGCTGTGGTTGCCTGTGTCTTTTCCAAAAAGACTAGAATGTTCTGAATCTTTTCTACTGTTTCCTCTTAGGGACTTTGTGATTTCAAGACTTGTGTTTAATAATGTAACATAGTTTGAGATACTTTTCCTGTAGTATGCACAAATAGTATTCATTTGACTTTGTATTTCTAATTTTCCCAGGACCAGCTGTAAAGGAGACCATTCTTTCTACCTTGGGTAGACTGAATATCTTTGTTGAAATCATTTAACTTGATACATAAGGGTTTATTTCTGGGCTTTTTCTGCTGCTGTCTTACACGCCCACTTTTTTGGCAATATGATACTGTTTGGATTATAGTCTACTTGTAGGTTTTGAAATCAGGATGCACTGAGGTCTCAGTTTTGTTTTTCTTTCTCAACATTGTTTTGGTCACTCAACATAAAGACCACTGATTCTATTTGAACTTGAGGACTGTTTCCTGTGTCTTTAAACATGCACCTTGCTAGCGACTCTTTGAAAACTGGTATTAATTCGGGCTGTGTGGACATTTTAACAATGCCAACTAACTCAATCTGAGAACTTGGATTGTCTTCATCTGTTACTTCCTTGATTTCTTTCAGCAGCATTTTCATCAAATGCTTCTGCCTTCTGGGCTAAGTTTATTCCTAAGTATTATCTTCTTTCTCATGCTGTCTTTAATGGGATCATGTTCTTGGTTTTCTTTTGATTATTCATTATTAGTGCACAAAAACACAGCTGATTTTGAGTACTAGTTTTGGATACGGCAACTTTGCTAAATCTGATCATTAATTATTACATTTGAGGGGTGCCTTTTCTTTCTTCTTTTTACCTACTTATCCTGAAGACTTCCAACAGCAGCAGGATAGACATGGTAAAAGTGAGCATCTTCGTCTTGATCTGACCGTAGAAGGAACACTTCATTTTTACCCCCGCTAAGTATCATGTCAGCTGCGGAATTTACAGAGGTTTAAACCATGCTCCTCTTACACTGTGATGCCAAGAAAGTACATAATGGTTTAAAAATTCTTATTAAATGTACATTATTAAATGTACATTAAATGCCATTGGTTTATGGCATTTACATGTATGTGTGGCATCCCCTTCTAATCTTTATCCCTTACATTAACTTGACCCTTCCCCCTCCCGTTGTTTTGCTTCCTCCCCTCAAACAGCAGTCATCCTGCTCTCGTGGTGTGTGTTTGTGTGTATAAAATGTAAGATAGAACATGCAATATTTGCCTGTGCTTTTACCCTCTCACGTCCTCATTTGTTTCCCTCTCTGCTGACTTAGGTCCCCTCCTTTCCCTGCACAGTCCCCTTTCTACTTCCTATCTGTTGCACACACATATTTTGAGTCTGGGTTCTGCGTATGGTAGAAAATATATGTCTCTGAATCCGGCTTATTTCACGTAATGCAATGAGCTCCGGTTTCATCCCCTTTTCCTGCAAATGACATATTGACCTGGAAAGGTCCTCCTAATGCTAGATTAATAAATATAACCGCTTGGGCTTCTCCCCATTATAGCGGTTCACCCTGCTGCACAGCTACTAGAAACTAGAGATTGCCACAAAAGCCAGACTTATGGTATGTGGTTTTAAACCTGATTCATGAGAGATTAAGGCAGATGCAGATCAGAGCGCACCCCCATTCCTCGGAGAAGCACTCACTGCTCCTGACACAGTGCAGAGCTCTGGGTAACTGTCTCAAGAATCTACCTGCTTTGATCTCTGCCCTTTGCAGCCCACAGCGGTTTGTGTGCTTGTTTTAAAGAACTGAATAGAAACTACCCATTAGTACTCCCATCTACTAAACAATTGATTTTGGAATACAGAGAAAAGGAAATCTTTTGGGCCGCTAAAATGAATTCCTTTTCCTGCTCTTTGAGATTTAACATTCGTTCTGCTAATTTCTCCAAATTTCTGTTGATGGTGTTTGCTGTTCAGTTGCTAATGTAGTCTTTGGTCTTTAAGGCTTTTAACCTTTCATCTCCGGTAATTCGAGTGGCTTTAAGAACTCTCCCCCACTTTTCCCATGTCCAAAAATTGATCTTCAATCAAATTTTCTTTCTGATGGGCTGAGCTTTTTACCTGGGGTGTACTCAGAATCAGGAAGTTTCTCTCTCTCTTTTTAAAGTGTGTATTAATTGTACAAAATAGAAATTTTCATACATGCATTTAACCTATTTAGATGATAATTATCTTCCAATTTCCCTCCCTTTTCTCCATCCTCCTCCTACTGGCCCTCTTCTCCTTCCCAAACAGCACCATGGAAGCCTTTAAGAGCTGCTTGGCACTTTTAGAAGTGCTGGTTAGTGTTTATTTTCCCTCTTTTTTTCTTTCTTCTTCCTTCTCTTTTGTCTTCATTCTGTCACTCTCCTCAGTCTCCCTCTTCCCATCTCCCTCTCCCTTTCCATCTCTTCCTCTCTTCCACACTCTTCCCTCTTTTGTTCATGTTAGACTGTTACAGGGAAAGTGGTCCCTGGACTTGAACCCCATGCTCCAGACATAGAAGAAAGGGCTGGTCCCACACAAGTTACAGCCTTCAGGATTCCCACTTTCTCCCCTTATGTTGGGTTTTCGCTTTTTCACGAGTTTCATATTTGTCACCGACTTTTGGAAGCATGAGATGCACGACACTCTCGCGAGGTTATTCACAGTTGTGAATCGCCAAGCTAATCTCTGCCACAAGCTGTGATGTAAATTTTAGACATGATTTTTTTTTTCTCTCCATGGCAAACAGCTTAACCAAGAGCCTCTCGGTCTTCAAAACTCTCCTGGAGTACCAAGTTTGAGTCCAGTTGAAATTCCTTTATAGGATGCAGTCCTCGGTGATGTAATAATGCCACCCTATTTCCAATGCTATAGAAGTCCTTTCTCTATCTCTCCTTTAAAATAACAATAGCATTCTTTTCACAAAAGTCCAGCACATTGACTCCAACACAGCATCTTCACGTATTTCTTTCGGGTTTTAATTATAACCATCTTTTAATAAAGGGAATTTTGAGGTAGAGCCTGGCACATTCCATTCACGCATTGCAGTGACGAATTCTTAGTGCCATTCGGTCACTTGTGGCTTTATTTTTAGGGGTAAATTTATAGTGAGCCCAGGATCACATGTCCAGTGGTATTCGAAGCATCTACAGCTGCTTACATAGCAGAAGTTCCGGGCTGCATTCCTGCTGTGAATCCTAGGATTTGTGAGGACGGTGCTGTGAGTAGCAAGAAAAAGAATTAATCTCGTGGAAATGTGCACACACATACATGCATACACACACAAATTCCCAGAGGACTTGCAGCGTGCAGTCAGGAGCATCCTGTCTTATCAGGAAGTTGCCCCCTTCAAAGACAACGTTTACGTCTGGTTTCATATATCCCTGAATGAAATTTAATTAATTTTCTTCATATGTATATACATTCACATGGATATATACATTTCATGTGTATATATATATATGTACATGAACATATACATATGAATGATACGTAGACATGAATGGATGTGTGCGGGTAAACACGTCATACAGGTGATGTCATAGATTTAAGGTTCTATAGCACATTATGTTCTATCATATCCCCTTATGGAAATGCCAATGTGTAGTTGGTGTTGAAGACAACCTAGCATGGTGTGCCCCCTCACAGATGCAGAAAGACAGTAATAGAGAATTGATCAAGGCCTTGGCCGTTATAAAGACCTGATTTCATCCATATGCCCTCAACTCCTTCAAACCACACAAATAACCGTCGCCATCTTGAAGCAGGAACTCAGACCCCGGACTTAGATTGCTAGGCTTCCTTCTTGCTCTGCATCATCACAGCGTGACGTCGAGCAAGTGGCTTTGTCTCTCTGAGCCTCAAGCTTCTCTTCTGGCTATTTTACCAAGCTGCTGTGGGGATGAGATGAGATAATGTACATAAAAACGCTTGGGATAGTTTGGGGCTCTTGATAAGCTGTTAGTACATGCCGGCTATTTTTGCTCTTTTGAAGGAGGAGGCGTGGGGCTGTGCTTAGGCTGTGCTTGAGGCTGGCTTGAGCGGAGAGATCCCACCGCCAGAGGAACAGGTGCACTGTGGAAATAAACATGTGTTGGTACAAGTCGTATCCAGCAGAACACTTAAAATTCCTCCAGGATGGGCTAGTCCTCTTGAGCAAAGATGGACTCCAGCTCCAGACGTCAAAGATAATTGTCTCAGATGGAGATGGGCTAAAATAGAGAAGAAAATTATCCTGCAGCATTCTGAGAACCAATTCCATGGATCTCCAACTCAAAAGTTAGGTAGGGCAAAGTGGATGCGTCCAAACAGAAAATTATGTGCCTCCAAATTAAAAGAAAAAAGTCTTAATCTACTAAAATTGCTTATAAGTTCACCTTAGAAAATACAGCATGGGTCAAATGTATTATAGAGGCTAGGAGAATGGGAAATCCTTTGTTTGTTCAGGTCATTTGTGGTACATTACTGTGTGAAATAGTTGACCATGTGTTCAAGGAAACGGTGAGGGCTTGGTGCTTCTCACAATGAGAGGTTTCTGGATATCCGTTTTCTTAACCTTCTTTATGAGGGTTATAGCAGTGTAGATGGGGATGGGGAGAGGATTTTTTTTGGAATAAAAATAGCATAAAATGAAAATACACAGCATTCAGTTGATAAGAAGGAATTTTTCAGTCGGGTGCTCATTATCCCACGGTTGGGGTAGGAATAGGCCTCACAGGTAAAGGTTTCTTCTCATAAGGAAGTCATGGGTAAAGCCCACGCCCCTCTACCAATTTCATTTTTCTGATTATTCTCAGAATTCAATCAAGCTTGACACTTGTTAGTACAAATGGACTGGGATTTGGGGGTGAGGGGGAAGCCTGACCAAGGCCGCAGCTCTCAGAGAGGGACATTCTGTCACGAAGAGGCAAGGCAAGACTGAACACTGCCGGGCTCTCTAGTGGTGAGACTGTCTTGAGAGGCCCCAAGCATCTGGAGGGTGGGGAAGAAGCATGAGTTAGAAGAAAGCTAAGCTGGTCTGTGAGATTTTTCTAGCAAAATTACAATGTGGCTTATTCTCATTGGCACCAAGACAAAGCCTTTTGTCGGGAATATGCTTAGTAAGAATGACCGTTATATCTCAGCATCCATGTTTTTTTTTTTTTTTTTAGATAATTTGGCTCACTATAAGATAATAGACTAGAAGTCAATTTCTCGCAGTTCTCAGGGCTGAGAAACCAAAACCAAGTTGCCAATAGGGGGCTTAGGGAAAGCACTCACCATGCAAGTATAAGGACCTGAATTCAGTCTCCAGTGTGCACATAGGAAGCCAGTCTTGGTGGCCCCTTCTTAGGATCCCACGGCTGGGGGAGCAGAAGCAACCAGAAACTTGGGGCTCACGGGCCACAGTGAGATGCGAGCCAATGAGAGACTGTCTCTAAAGACAAGGTGGTGGTGTCTGAAGAGAAAGAATGTCCAGTTATCCTCTGGTCTCTACATGTAGTTTGTGCCTCAACAGAATTTGTAAAAAAAAATAAAATAAAATAAAATAAATTCACGGGAGGGTGTATCATACAATAAAATATATTCATAGTAATCTCTCAGTGTCCATGGGGAACTGGTGCCAGCTCTCCCTGGCTCCATATATCAATACCCACAGAGACTCAGATCCCTGGTGGGTAGGCCAAGTGGGTGCTTGCCTATAACCTGCACACATCCTCCTATGTACTTTCACTTACTAAAGTCTCATGGTTTGTAAGCCTACAGATATTGGGTCTGGGAACATGGAGATGCTCCTGGATGTAGAGAGACAGTTTTATCTAAACTCTGCAATGGTTTCATAGCAAGCTGAGCCAGACCTGGTCCTCATCAATCCTGACTCCTTCTTCGTTTTCATTCCAGTTTTGCTGTTGTTGATTTTATTGTTCTTGGAACAAGGTCTCACCCTGTAGCCCATTGTGGGTTTGAGTTCTTAATCCACCCATGTCAGCCACCTCCCACCAAGTGCTGGGATTAGAGTCATGCACCTCAATATGCAACAAGCCTTTCGCCTCTTTTAGTAACCCCCAGCCTAGCCTTTAGGATACCACACCATGCTCCCCAGGTCCAGCCCACCTCTCTGCTCTGATACCTGGCTGCTAAATTTGGGTGGGCTGCTTCTATGCACAAACCACACATCCATGAGCTACAAGAAAGACCTGGAATAAATGAGAATGTTCCCTTGGCTGCCTGCACATTACAAAGTCCTGATCTTGACAACAGAGCCTTCTGGGGGCTATGCCTTCTTTCAGAATCCTGGAACAAGGTGGAATTGATATGGGTGTTTAACTCCTGATAGGTTTCCATTTGCGACGGCTGTCAAGTTTGAGATGTAGTATCTACCTCAAGTATGGGTGTGAAAACCAATCCCACTGACACCTAGATCGACTCTTGCTGCAGGTGTTCTGCAACCTCAGATGCCATTGGGGCACTGCTGTATTTTGCAATGCAGCCTGTTCCAGACACAGCTGGCTCCCCACTGGCATCTGGTCAAACAGAAAAGAAACACAGAGCCTCCTGCTGGCTGGCCATCTGGGGCAATAATTGCTCCTTGGTTATCGATGGCACATCTCTAAGGTGACTGTTCCTTCAGCTGGTGGGGTTGTCACAAATGTGCACTTGGCAACAGCTGTCGCCTAGCCTCTGCTTTTGCTGGGCACCAACTCCTGTGTGCTTAGATGGGCCAAGTAAGAAATGTCTGGGCATTTAGGAGAATCCTGGAGCAAGGGAGGAGGAAGTAAACAGAATAAGGCAAGAGGCTCTTCAAACAAGGGTTTCCAAGGAGTGTTGTGAGTGCATGCATTCTTGGTTAAAAACAAAAGCAAAAACAATCAACACAATGCTCTTCCAGAACAATCCAAAAAGCTGCCTCACATCGAGCTAATATCTGCACGTGTACATGGTGTACACATGCATACAGCTACAGTCACACACATATGCACACACACTCACACACCTCTTCACTGCTGTGGGTCCAAGTTTGAACTAGTAGCTGCCACCCCAACAGGCATTACTACCTCCAGGTTTTCTTACATTTCCCCTTTGACTCTGAAAGCTGCTCCCCTCTTTTGCTACTAGATTCAGGCTTCCATTACAGGTTATTGGTGGGCTTTCACAAGACATTCAGATTTTTCCAAGTGTGTTTAAATTTCACAAGGCTTGAGTGTGAGGAAATTCAAGGCATCCAACACTCTCCAACTCTTAACGCTTCTGATAAAGGCCCAGGACTTTCGTTAGATTAACTAACAACAGTTAGCAATTATAATTCCAGGAGAAGCGGGAAGCGAGGTCATTAACTAGTTAATTGTGCCCACTCAACACAGCCTCTCAAAAGTACTTCTAAACAGATGCGTAGGATTGGATGAAATATCAAATGTTTTCTTGATGGAGGAAGGTCATTGGTTAATTAAAGAAACTGCTTGCCCTGATAGGTTAGAACATAGGTGGGTGGAGTAAACAGAACAGAATGCTGGGAGGAAGAGGAAGTGAGCTCAGAGACACCATGCTCCCCTCTCCCGGGTAGATGCAATAGCTCTGCTCTCTGAGGCACTCGCGATGAAGCTCAGACCCAGGATGGACATAGGCTAGAATCTTTCCTGGTAAGACTGATGCTACACAGATTATTAGAGATGGGTTGATTGGGATATGAGAATTAGCCCGTAAGAGGCTAGAGCTAGTGGGCCAAGCAGTGTTTAAAAGAATACAGTGTCCGTGTAATTATTTTGAGGCATAAGCTAGCAGCCCCGCCGCTCCTACTACTACTTTTTCTTAACTAATGTCCTGTGAATTCAGTCATTTAATTTTAGTGTATAAATATTGATAAATGATATGGGATTCTACCTCAAAGGGATACACACTGGGTGGATGGATGCAAAGGATTGTGAGACAGCAAATCTGAACTCCAAATGTGATGGAATATTTAATTATCATCTTTTGGGAGGTACTTTTTATGTATCTTTTTATTCTTACTGAGGATTAAATTAAAACTAAGGCCCCAATTCTTTTTGTATCTTGATATGGGATTTCCCTCTGTATACTGAAGAACTGCTTTGAGCCTATAGCAGAGCAGGGTGGGGCAGAGCAGAGCTAGGTGGGGAGGACTTGACGGAATGCTGGGAGAAAGAAGGGCGGAGTCCGAGAGAAACCATGTAGCCCCACCAGAGTCAAACATGCTGGAACTCTGCCTTTAAGCCACTGCCACCTGGTGATGCACAGATTAATGGAGATGGGTTAAATTAATATATAAGAGTTAGCTAATAAGGAGGTAGAGCTAATGGGCTAAGCAGTGATTTAATTAATACAGTTTCTGTGTGATTATTTGTGTTCTGGGCGGCTGGGACAAACAAGCGACCTTCCATTGCAGTATCTTTATTATAAGACAGTGTGTGTGAGACGCACAGAGAGAGACAATCAGCCTAGGTTAGTCTTGCACTCACTCTTGCCTTGAACTCCCTAAACACTTGCAGAACTTACTCTTCCATTCTCTTGCTCAGTCTCCCCCAGACCCAGCTCAAGCTTTGTCCTTTGGTAAATTATGCCAGGCACTTCTGCCTGAGCACATGTTTCAAACCTTCAGTTGGAGGCAGCAAATCAACTCACATCAAAGTAGAATGAAATTCTAATTAAAAAAAAATTATTTCAGTGATTCGGTCAAAGGTTACCAGGTAGATACCAGGAATCCTCGTGTTAAATATTATTCATCTCATGACAAGAAACACCTTTAATCTCAGTTTATTATGTATGAACTATTGCAGCCAAAGACCAAAGGTATAAAAATCCCAAGGCCATAAGCACTCTCACTGAACAATATGGTAAGCTATTTCTTTAATAGACTTGGCAGGCAAATACAGTAAAGCTCAAAATCCACTTACCTTCACTCCACTTCACAGAGTGCCCAGGACCAGCACGGTTATCCAATGACTACAGTTTTAGAAATCCTCAACACAAAAGGCACCACCATGCTGTAGATACATTTCACTTGGTAGAATGCTTGCCTAGTGAGCATGCAGCCCCAAGTCTCCAGCTTTAACACTACGAAGAAGTCTAACTGTGGGTCTAACAGTGGCAGGAGGCAATGTTAAGCTACAAACTCTCCAGTTTATCTTTCTCATGCTCCAGAGTCTGATACATTCTTGAACCTGTTAAGCTACTTTATTCCTTTAATTTTCCCACAATTAAGTTGTAAAATAATTGCTGTGATCATTAAGCACCCATATAATGCTGTACACATTCAAAGTGTTTTGCAATCATCTATTTTACAAAGCACATTGTTCTGTGTATCAGGTTTTATCATGTCCTGTGTTGGCTTAAGAGCCATGTTCTACATGATCAGATTAAGAAGTAATATATCAATTTTAGGAGCAAAGGTGACTCTTTGTACCATGTATTTGTTTGTACGCTTTTAACCTTTGCACAGTCAATACAAGCTCTCTGGTTTATTAGGAGCCAGAAGGAGTCTGGTGCCGAGCAGGGTGCTGTCTTTTCACGGTGCCTTCAGGCAAGCACTTGAACAGGGTCTGAACTGTGCCCCTGTTTGAGGAACTCATGTTTGGGAGGAGGAACCCTAATTCCTCTCTGCTAGAACTTGCCAGTTACCAAAGCAGGAGAGAACCCCATCGACCACAGTTGTGCACAGCAGGTGAAGAAAAGTCATTCTGACACTTCCAGGGGATGTGGATTATATACAGTCTTGTGCAACATAATGATGATACAGTCAATGATTGACCGCACAGGCAACGATGCCCTGTAAGATGTCACCTAATGATGAGATAGTCATCCTCCTGGGGACACACCGTATGAGAAGCTCTCAACAATCAGGTCCCCGAACAATGCATGACTTGTGTAGAAATAACAGTACCTGTCCCGTTCCTCCGTCCGAAGGTATAGGTCACTAATTCTTCCAGCAGAAAAGAGGGTCAGAGGCCCAGATTTGTTTGTACCTTCATCCACATTTGGGAAGTCTTCTTGGTCATTATTGCCACATGAGTCTCTAGAATTTTTTTTCTGCTCAAGGTTGACATCGATTCTCTATTTGATCCCCAAAGAAGATGGAGGTAGGTGTGGCCTTTCTTTCTCCAGAACATGGCCAATCCAATGACAGTCTGTGATAGTTACTGCAGAGTCAGCTCCACCTTGAAATCGTAATGGACAAGGAACCAAAACAAGATTACTATAGGGATGACATTGTTCCTTGACCTCAGAGAAAGCTCTGTTAGATTTAGGTTTGGGCAGCTACTCTGTCCCTTGAAAATGTTCTTTTTCTCCTAAGTGGTCTTGTTCCAGATGTCTTGACAGGAGTCTTAACCTGCACTGGAGGTCCCACTCCAGATTTTTTTTTTTTTTTTAAGATTTGCAACACTAGGTATGCTGAAATGGGTCGGTTGATAAAGTGCTTGCCTAAAAATCGTGATGACTTGAGTTTTACCCCGAGGGCCCGTGGGGCCAAGTCTAACAGTAAGCATTTATAAACCCAATGCTGGGAGAACGAGAATAGGCAAAATTCTTGGGGCTTACTGGTCAGACAGCCCAGCCCAGTTGGTGAAGCCCTGGCCAGGGGAAGAAGCTGTCAGAAAAAGGCCATGGAGTGGACTCTAGAGATTGCTCAGCAGCTAAGAGCACTGGCTGCTCTTGCAGGGGACCAGGGATCTATTCCCAACACTCACATGCCAGCTCACAGTCATTTGTAACTCCAGTCCTAGGAAAGCCAAAACCTGCTTCTGGCATCCACAGGCACCAGGCACACCCATAATGTGCAACATGCGAACACACAGAATGTCCACACACAAAATAAATAAACAAAATAATTTAATTACAACGCAAACAAGCAATGTGTGGTACTAGAGAGTGGCTCTGACAGAAAAGGTCTTTTCTTTCAAGCCAAAAAAAATCCAAGTTTCATTGCCATTAGCCGCATTTCCTTTGAAAAAAAAAAAAAGCCAGAGGAGCCAGGCAGTAGTGGCACATGCCTTTAATCCCAGCACTCAGGAGGCAAAGACAGGAGCATCTCTGTGAGTTACAGGTGAGTTGGTCTACAAAGTGAGTCCCAGGATGGGTTCTAAAGCTACAGAGAAACCTTGTCTCGAATAAAATAAAATAAAATAAAATAAAATAAAATAAGCAGGATGCAGACACGTGTGCCTGTAATGCTGCTCAGGGGAGGTAGAAGCAGGAACATCCTCGGGACTGCCAAATGCTTGATTCCAAGTTTATCAAAAAACTGTATTTCAAAACCTGAAATGGAGAGCAAGTAAAGAAGATACCCAATCCTCTACACAAGCACACACACGCATACACACATGTGCACATGTGCCTGTGGGCCCACTCATATACACACATGTGCACACACAAAGCCTGAAGGTGGGTGGTGCCTGAATAGTGGCAGTTAAGATTGCCTTCTGACCTCTGCACAGGCACACATATTTGCCTGCATACATGCATTTACATACATGCATGTACACCTATACACACACACAGAGGGTGGGAGGGGGAATAGCACAGGAGGTTCTGTTTCTAACTTTGTGTATGTTACAAAACCAAGTGACACCTCCAAGCTTAACGTCATGAAGTCTCCAAGTTAGAAGATGCAGTGTCACCTCCCAAATGATGTGAGTAGGGAGACTCTGAGAGCATCACCTGGCTTCCTTCCTGATAGTGTCAGCTAAGGAGAGGGAAGTGTGCCTCGCCAAGAGGAGCCATGGAGTTTTTCAAGGGGAAAAATACTTTGCATTGATATGGATCTTGGTTTATTAATATATATTTAAGGTCAATTTTGTTATATGTATATGTATTTCTGATCATGATTAAGGTATTGCGTTTGTGTAGCTCATTTAAAATGTAATATATAATTAAGAAATATAAGTTAATAGATAGTCATCTGTAGTAGTGAAGCTTGTAGTCATATTAGTTAGATTTTCTAGTTGTATAGAGATATGTTTCAGTTAGATAGGTATTCTTCAAATCTTTTAGAGACCGTCAGAATATGGCATTTAAATGTTTTAAAAATTAGGACTTTTTATGATAATGAGACACATCTGATCCTCGTAGCACCAAGCTACTTCAAGAGGAAGATGGACATCAAAGAGGCTCCTTATACAGTTTGTTAGCCATTTGGGCAAGAAACTGCCCTTGTCATAGTATGTTGCTTGTATTGGTTAATGAATAAAGAAACTGCTCTTGCCTAGACAGTTTGATGAACTGGACATGCAAGACCCACAGAGAGATGACTGCTGAACTTGCCTAAAGGTGAAATGATCCTTCAGGGTTCCTGCTTCATGAAAGAGTCTGCTAGATATTCTGCAGGACACAGAAAAAAGTGACTGACAAACTGCCAATATAGGTGGAACTGTCTTTGAAATTTTCTGCATCATGGAAAAGTCTGCTGGATACTATGGGCCTGTGGGCTAAAGATGGATGCCCCAATGGTACAGAAGAACTTTGGGTGACTGTCCAGGCAGCAAGATGCCTCTGTCAATTCTAGAGTTTTGGAAGTTGTTTACAATGCACTTCCTATTTACTTAGGTAATGTTATATCCTTCTGGAGTCTTTGATGGAGTTGAAGAACAGATAGATAGTTATAATTACAGTTTTCCTTAGTTATGATAAAAGATAAAGTAAATAGAAATATTGTAACTATAATTCTTGTTTGATAACTGTTTTGTTATATGTAATTTTACTACATTAAAATTAAAGCCTTTCTTTTTATTTAAACAGAAAAGTGGAGGTGATGTGGGGTTTCCCTCTGTATGCTGTGATTACCATTAATGAATAAAGAAACTGCTTTGGACCTACAGCAGGGCAGAACTTAGGTAGGCAGGGAAGACAAAACTGAATACTGTAAGAAAGGAGGCGGAGTCAGAGGGACACCATGGAGCTGCTGCCAGAGCCAGACATGCTGAACTTTGTTGGTAAGCCACTGTCATGTGACAATACACAGATTAATGGAGATGGATTAAATTAATATGTAAGAGTTAGCCTATAAGAAGCTAGAGCTAATGGGCTAAGCAGTGATTTAAATAATATGGTTTCTTTGTGATTATTTCGGGTCTAAGCTAGCCGGGCAGCAGGGAACCAACAAGAGGCCCTCCTCCAACATCAGTCTAATGTCTCTGAGCCAAAGCTGCATATCATGGTGCCTGGCTTAGCTCCTATGCATTTCAATAAAATGAGTCTGCATTTCAAGGTAGGTTTTAGGCATTCTCCCTTTCTTTCAGCTCACCAAATAGCTTATTATGCCAGGAATAAATAGGTTGATATATAATAGGTAGGAGTAGACAGGCATCTTTATTATTCCTTTTCTGCTCCTCTCTCTATGCAGATCTTCTTCCTCACAATCCATTGTGTTGGATGGATTAATCAATCAGATTAGCCCTTGATTGACCCAATGGGATCCATTCTCATTTCCTCTCTTCCCCTCTTCCCTCCCATTCAATATTGCAGGCACATGGATGAGGTAACTGTGAACTGCCAGGGTCTGTATTTCCAATGGAGCGATCAAGGGATGGTAGATGGTGATTGCTTGCCTTTCTGGATGCAGCCACTGGGAAGCTGGAAATGCCCTTTCCTATGTGTCTAATCTGGATGCAGCCACTGGGAAGCTGGAAATGCCCTTTCCTATGTGTCTAATCTGGATGCAGCCACTGGGAAGCTGTGAATGCCCTTTTCTATGTGTCTAATCTGGATGCAGCCATTGGGAAGCTGGGAATGCCCTTTCCTATGTGTCTAATCTGGATGCAGCCATTGGGAAGCTGGGAATGCCCTTTCCTATGTGTCTAATCTGGATGCAGCCACTGGGAAGCTGGGAATGCCCTTTTCTATGTGTCTAATCTGAGTTTCGGTCCTCGCTCTGGACAAACTTTGTTCTGGAAATGATCGTATCCAAATGTAAACAGTGTCAACTATGACGCTTGCGTTTTCTGCTTTATCGGTATTTCCTTTTTATAAAATAATAACTACATTTTACTCACGTGATAAGAAACCTACTTATATATAAAAATGATTGGGTAGTGATGGAGAGATTGTAGACCTAAGTGGCTCAACGGAAGGCCTCTTCCTCCAGGTCCCAATGCCCGTGCTGAGAACCTCATGGGCCTGTGCTCGGT